CCACAGTGAGGAGGTGGGCGTGGCCTGTGCCCCGCGCGGCGAGGGACACCGGCCGTCTCTGGGTGAGGACACGGCCGCTGCGCTGTCTGTCCCAGGCGCAGGGGACGGTCCTCGCCTGGACCTTTCACTGTCTCCTGCATGTCTCACGGCCAGTCATTCCCATTTCAATCTTCTGAGTCTTCCCACCAACACTGTCAGATGTCTGCTCCTCAGTTACGTTCCTTTACCCAGAGCCAGGTCTCCTCCTAAACGTGTGCGGCCAGGACATCTGAGCGAGGGAGGAGACATCTGAGCGAGGGAGTAGACATCTGAGCGAGGGAGGAGACATCTGAGCGAGGGAGGAGCGAGGTGGCCGCGCCCCCTCTCCTGCCAGGTCACAGAGGCTGATGACCAGCGCTGCTCACTCTTACCCGCGGGCTGCGCCGGCCCCTGGGCGTCCTCCTGCCCTGAGACGGGGAAGCTGAAGCTTCGCTGTGAAACGCAGGACTGGGGGCCCCGGGTTCACCGTGTTGGGCACTTAGGTGGTCAAGGTGCACGGCTTTGCCTCGTTGGACCTAACGGTGCCAGCCTGGGGCCCCCCTGCCCCTCCGGGTCCGGCAGGGGCAGTGCCCTCCTGCGCCCTCAGAGCCCGTGTTCCAGGCGTCTCCTCTGTTCCCTGCGTGCTCCCTCTGCGCACGGGGCTGCTGTCTCCCAGTCGGTGCTCTCTCAGCCACGGCCCGCGTGTCTGTTTATGCCCCTGAAGGTCTCAGCGTGGCTGTTCCAGGTGAGCGAACAGGCACGAAATAACGCAGCTCCAAGTGAACGTCCTACTATTTACTAGTGGAAGTCAGTGGTAATAAAATCAGGCGCGACTTTATTTTATTTTTAAAATATATATATATTTATGTTGATTTCAGAGAGGAAGGGTTCGATAGAAGCATCAATGATGAGAGAGAAGCCTGGTTCAGCTGCCTCCTCACACTGGGGATCGAGCCCGCAACCTGGGCGTGTACCCGGACCAGGAATCAAACCATGACCTCCTGGTTCCTAGGTTGGCACTCAACCACTGAGCCACACCTTTACAGCCTCCCCCCTTCTTTTATGAATTAGCCTTGTTCTGAGCTAAGTTGAATGGCTTGAGAAATAAACAGTATTATTTCTGTTTTTAAAGATTCCCTCCCTCCCTCCTTCCCCAGCAGCTGGCGCCTGCCCTCCCTCTGCTGGCCGTTCCCGGTGCTGGGACTGCAGAGCTGAGCAGTGGCCTCCCAGCTTCACAAGATCAGGCCGAAGGGGAGAGTTTTTGTTGTCCCTTCTCTCTCTCCATTGCCCAGCGACCCAGAGCTGATTTTAAAAACAAGTTGACTTGGCTCAGTGGATAGAGCGTCAGCCTGCGGACTGAAGGGTCCCAGGTTCGATTCCGGCCAAGGGCACATGCCTGGGTTGCAGCTTGATCCCCAGTAGGGGGCGTGCAGGAGGCAGCCGATCAGTGATTCTCTCTCATCATTGATGTTTCTATCTCTCTCTCCTTCTATCTTCCTCTCTGAAATCAATACAGAAATACATTTTTTAAAATAAGAGAATAGGTTATGTTTGGGGAAGTCTCCTGCGTCTGTCCCACTTGCATGTTTGGTTTCCTAATACTTTCGGGTCATGCCCTAGGTTTCCCCATCAGACTGGTGGACGGAGAAAATGAGAGAGAGGGGCGCGTGGAGGTTTTCCTCCAGGGCCAGTGGGGAACCATCTGTGACGACGGCTGGACTGACCGGGACGCGGCTGTGACCTGCCGGCAACTCGGCTACAGGTAAGGGAGCCTGGTTGCTCGGCTGGGTACTTCAGGGACACGTCTGAGTCTTTAAAGCCTCGTTCCAGCGAGTTATTTCTTGAAAATTAATTTACATGATCTCATTCCAAATTGTAAAGAATACTAAGTAGAGTGTTTAAAATCTTCTGTCTTCTCACAAGAGACATACAATGTCACATGTAGCTTGTATTTAATAACAAATCTCTCTCTATATATAAAAGCCTGATATGCAAAGTGTCTCCTTGGGAGTTCAACCAACCGGCCATGAGTTCAATCGCTCACTATGACGTGCGCTGACCACCAGGGGGCAGCGCAGAACAAAGGAAGGCTGCAGCCGGCAGCTGGGGAAGGGAGGCCCCAGCCAGCAGCCGACAGCCACTAGAGAGCCTACCTGTGCACAGATTTCGTGCACTGGGCCTCTAGTCGTGTAATAACTCGACTCCATATACTGCTCTGCCAGCAGGGCGAAGCTAGCCCCTCCTGCGTGGTGTCCGTCTCGTGCGGTCGCCGTGAGCGGCTGTGGAGTTAGTGGGAGTGAGTGGCTCTCAGTGTACAGGGCGGTGACGCCTGTAAACCATGGACAGCGAGCCCTGTGCTTCTGGACTAAGGCCTTCGTCTGGCTCCTGGGCTTGCAGATGGCCAGCCTGGGCCGTCTCCAGCTCCCCTTGTCCTTGCCTTCCCTGTGCTGTCTCTGTGGACACGTTCACTGCCTCGATGGCCCACGTTGGTGCCTAGCTCTCCGGAGCGCAGGGGCTGTGTGCGTGTGCGGGAGCGTCCACGGGCTCCCAGGCTCAGGCTCCGCTCAGCCCCAGCCCCAGTGATCACACCGCCCTCACCAGCCGGCAGGAGGACGCTTGTGCCCACTGTGAGAGCGGACACGGGGAGGCAGGGCCCCTCCTGTGGCCTCCCCCAGCCATGCAGGGGGTTGAGGCTTCGTGCAGGTGTACAGTGAGTGTGCAAATATCGGAAACGTGTTCCGTGTAGAGAGCTGGGACGTTTCAGCTAATGCACACACACTGCCCAGCTCGTGGTGGGTTACGAATAGTGGTTGGATTTTAAGCTGTGCCCTTTTTTATACATCTGTGTGTACATTTAACTAGTGGTTTTATGCTGGATACATTTTTATTTTTAAAAGTATTTCTATTTTATTTATTTGTTTTGTTAATCCTCACCAGAGGATATTTTTCCCATTGTTTTCTCAGAGAGAGTGGAAGGGAGGGAGGCAGGGAGAGAGAGAAACATGGATGTGAGAGAGACACATGGATTGGTTGCCTCCTGCATGAGCTCCGACCAAGGTCAGGGATTGAACCATCAACCCAGGTACATGCCCTTGAGCAGAAACAAGCCCTCCGCCCTTTGGTGCATAGGCCGACGCTCTAATCACGGAGCCATGCTAGCCAGGACTACATTATTTCTATTCTAATTAAACTTAAAAAATATTTTTCTAATGTTTTCATGCAAAGTTTGTTTCCTGTTACTCAGCTGTTACTTTGAGTTACTGTTCAGTTTTGGACCTAGTTACACTGGCAGCCGCCCGCTGGGCAGTGAGTGCGTTACTGGTGATCACATTGTCAGTGTCTGTGATTGGCATGGGACGTGGATTTCCACTTTGAAAACGCAGGCCGCAGAGGCAGGCAGGAGGAGCCTCCCTCAGATGCCCACCTGCACTGAGTCAGTGATTTCTTTTGTTTCCGTTATCACACATTTCTAACACTCCTTCCTCCATTTGAACATGAATACACACACACACACACACACACACATATATCTATAACTGTTCTTCCATTACCTTCCCAGGGAATTTCCTTACTTACAATCAGCCATTAAAGAACATTGCTGTTTGAGACTGTTTTATTGTTCATACTTTAGTTTTCCTTTTTTTCTTCCTTTTCTAAAAAAAAATTATTATTAGAAAGAGAGGAAGGGAGAGGGAGAGAGAGAGAGAAACATTGATGTGAGAGTGAAACAGCAGTCAGCTGCCTCCTGCACGCCCTCCACCGGGGATCGAGCTGGCAACCTGGGCTGTGCCCTGACTGGGAATGGAACCGTGACCTCTACGTGCACAGGATGATGCCCAACCACTGAGCCACACTGGCTAGGGCCATACTTCAGTTTTTCTGTAGACACGATCCAGGAAATCTCCTAGTATGTTTGAAATATGCAGGGAAAGGCCAAGTTTGATCCTCACATGTGTTGGAGCCACAGTTAAGGAAGGAAGAAGTCCCTTTGCACATCCATCATGCATTTTCACTTCCATCTTCGTTTGTCATTGCTTTTTACTTACCATCACTTAGTCCAGTGGTTCTCAACCTTGGCTGCACATTAGAATCACCTGGGAATCTTTTTAAAATCCTGATTTCTGGGCCTCATCCTCTGGAAATTCTGTTTCTTTGTTACCGGGTGGGACCACAACATTAGTAACAAAGAAACAGAATTTCCGGAGGATGAGGCCCAGAAATCAGGATTTTAAAAAGATTCCCAGGTGGTTGTAATGTGCAGCCGAGGTTGAGAACCACTGACTTAGTCCATTCTACATTCAGCTCTAATGGTGAACTGAAGTGAGAAATAGTCCAGATTAATGAACATTAGTGAACGTCTGCAGCAATTTCCCATAGTGTTCCTGTAACAATGACCAGGAAAAGCACTGAAAGAATATTTTACTTTGTAATTGTTCTTTTAATAAAGTCCCTTAGTAAGTAAAAGAGTAATTTAATGTTCCTATACAACAAATTGGATAATCACCTTCTAGTGCATAATCCACACTTTCCCATCAAATAGTATTTAAGTGAGAATCATTTAGATATTTGCTCTGTGAATGCACTTGAGCGTTTTAATGCCTTCCCACTAGGAAGTGGGGTTTCCCGGGAGAACACGCACAGAACGGTGAACGGGTTGTGACTAGAGCAGGGGTCGTCTCCCCATGTTTGAACTGTTAAAAGTCTCCAGTGAAGCCTTCGTTTGTAGACACCAATCAAGAAAGCCTCACAGCTGCTAAGGCTTGGGCCTTCTGGGTAAGAAGTCCGGAGGCCCGTCCCGAGCCAGCTCTGTGCTAGTGGAGGGTGGGTCCGTGGAAGCACTGAGAGTCCAAATAGCATTAAAATGCACTTCCTCCATGGGAGAGACAGAACCGACGTGATGGAACAGGAAAGGTGGTGGTACCTCACCTCGACGCGCTGACCGTCACCAGCAAGCCAGCCGCCTTAGTCCCTGAGGGGTCACGTGATGTCTGGAGGCCCAGCACATGGCACACGGTCTCCGAGGCTGAGAGAGAGGTGCTGACTCCGCTCACACGCCAAGGTGGACTGAACAGCCCGAGGCAGAAGGACGTCCATCCCCTTTGAACTTCCTGCCAGTCCCTTAGCACAGGCCTCCATGTGGCGTTCTTCCGGAACTGCACGATTGTTCGTGTCTCCCTTCACACAACCTAGAACCTGTGGGCCTTTGCTGTTTAGGCAGAGACCTGACATCAAGTATATCCAGTGTAGGTGCGTGCTCCCAGACCGTGTGCGTGCCCCCAGACCGTGTGCGTGCCCCCAGACCGTGTGCGTGCCCCCAGACCGTGTGCGTGCCCCCAGACCGTGTGCGTGCCCCCAGACCGTGTGCGTGCCCCCAGACCGTGTGCGTGCCCCCAGACCGTGTGCGTGCCCCCAGACCGTGTGCGTGCCCCCAGACCGTGTGCGTGCCCCCAGACCGTGTGCGTGCCCCCAGACCGTGTGCGTGCCCCCAGACCGTGTGCGTGCCCCCAGACCGTGTGCGTGCCCCCAGACCGTGTGCGTGCCCCCAGACCGTGTGCGTGCCCCCAGACCGTGTGCGTGCCCCCAGACCGTGTGCGTGCCCCCAGACCGTGTGCGTGCCCCCAGACCGTGTGCGTGCCCCCAGACCGTGTGCGTGCCCCCAGACCGTGTGCGTGCCCCCAGACCGTGTGCGTGCCCCCAGACCGTGTGCGTGCCCCCAGACCGTGTGCGTGCCCCCAGACCGTGTGCGTGCCCCCAGACCGTGTGCGTGCCCCCAGACCGTGTGCGTGCCCCCAGACCGTGTGCGTGCCCCCAGACCGTGTGCGTGCCCCCAGACCGTGTGCGTGCCCCCAGACCGTGTGCGTGCCCCCAGACCGTGTGCGTGCCCCCAGACCGTGTGCGTGCCCCCAGACCGTGTGCGTGCCCCCAGACCGTGTGCGTGCCCCCAGACCGTGTGCGTGCCCCCAGACCGTGTGCGTGCCCCCAGACCGTGTGCGTGCCCCCAGACCGTGTGCGTGCCCCCAGACCGTGTGCGTGCCCCCAGACCGTGTGCGTGCCCCCAGACCGTGTGCGTGCCCCCAGACCGTGTGCGTGCCCCCAGACCGTGTGCGTGCCCCCAGACCGTGTGCGTGCCCCCAGACCGTGTGCGTGCCCCCAGACCGTGTGCGTGCCCCCAGACCGTGTGCGTGCCCCCAGACCGTGTGCGTGCCCCCAGACCGTGTGCGTGCCCCCAGACCGTGTGCGTGCCCCCAGACCGTGTGCGTGCCCCCAGACCGTGTGCGTGCCCCCAGACCGTGTGCGTGCCCCCAGACCGTGTGCGTGCCCCCAGACCGTGTGCGTGCCCCCAGACCGTGTGCGTGCCCCCAGACCGTGTGCGTGCCCCCAGACCGTGTGCGTGCCCCCAGACCGTGTGCGTGCCCCCAGACCGTGTGCGTGCCCCCAGACCGTGTGCGTGCCCCCAGACCGTGTGCGTGCCCCCAGACCGTGTGCGTGCCCCCAGACCGTGTGCGTGCCCCCAGACCGTGTGCGTGCCCCCAGACCGTGTGCGTGCCCCCAGACCGTGTGCGTGCCCCCAGACCGTGTGCGTGCCCCCAGACCGTGTGCGTGCCCCCAGACCGTGTGCGTGCCCCCAGACCGTGTGCGGGCCCCCGGACCGTGTGCGTGCTCCCAGACCGTGTGCGTGCTCCCAGATTGTGTGCGTGCTCCCAGACCGTGTGCGGGCTCCCAGACCGTGTGCGTGCCCCCAGACCGTGTGCGTGCCCCCAG